CAGTGGCTTAGCTCACTTTGGGGACAGGTTTCAGGGGGAAATCACAGATTTTGAGGAAGGTATTCTGATGTTAGCGTTGCATAAATTGGTAATATACAGTGGTACCTCGGGTTAAGAACTTAATTTATTCTGGAGGTCCATTCTTAACCTGAAACTGTTCTTAACCTGAAGCACCACTTTAGCTAATGGGGCTGCTGTGCCGCCGCCGCACAATTTCTGTTCTCATCCTGAAGCAAAGTTCTTAACCTGAGGTACTATTTCTGGGTTAGCGGAGTCTGTAACCTGAAGCGTCTGTAAACCGAGGTACCACTGTACCTTAAAATGATTTCAAAGTGGAAGGCGGGCGGGGGTTTCTGTGCAGTCTGTTATTGGGAATGTACCTGCATCCAGCCATAGAGCGTTTGGGAAATTTTTGAAACCCCCACCCCCAGGTTCAGTTGGCTTTGAACACATGGGGCAAGAAGGTTGAACCAGTGCTATTTTGTTCAGTTTATTTCTGACTGGCATCTAGCAGAACCAAAAATGAAAGTGGCCTCTTTTTAAGAACTCTGAGGGGTTTTCCCCCTGAGAACTTTCTTCTTTGCACTTTCACTCTATTTTGGTGAGTAGAGCACTTTCCGAGAATTGTTACAGTGTACTGTTGCAGCAAAACCCCTGAATATGACTGTCATAATCTTGGCCTCATTTGTCTTCGTGAAGGTTGTTGAGACCTGCAAACGTTGCCCAAGGCTTACAGAGAAAGCCAGGGAACCTCAGGTGCAACAGTTCCCATCTATTAATGTACAAATGTGCTTTGAAAGCTATTTGACATAATATTTCAGGGTGTGCACCCTTTATTCGCCTGTCTGAGGGATCCCGTGTCTATTGGGGCGCCACCTGTGACTCATCACTTCATTCTGTTCTTTCAGCTGTCTCCATGGAGAAATTCCATATCTCCTCCAGCTTCTCCACTGAGCTTATTCTCCTTCTGCTACCTCATCGATTTATTAGATCACAACTTCATTGTAATCATCAGCATTCAAATCTCTCACTTCTGAGTCTTCAGTTTCAGAGATTGTGATATCCACTCCAACTTTCTTCATGACCCCTTCAGTAGCTCGAGTCTTTCTTTGCCTTATTAAAGGTAAAGTAAAGGGACCCCTGACCATTAGGTCCAGTCGTGACCGACTCTGGGGTTCCGGCGCTCATCTCGCTTTATTGGCCGAGGGAGCAGGTGTACAACTTCCGGGTCATGTGGCCAGCATGACTAAGCCGCTTCTGGCGAACCAGAGCAGCACACGGAAACGCCGTTTACCTTCCCGTCTGAGCGGTACCTATTTATCTACTTGCACTTTGACGTGCTTTCAAAATGCTAGGTTAGCAGGAGCAGGGACCGAGTGACGGGAGCTCACCCCGTCATGGGGATTCGAACCGCCGACCTTCTGATCGGCAAGTCCTAGGCTCTGTGGTGTAACCCACAGCGCCACCCGCATCCCTTTGCCTTATTAAGAGAACCATTAAAACATTTGGCTACCTATCGCTTCTGGTTAGAGTTCTATTTTAGTGATGCTTATCTTGCCTTGTGGGTGATTGAAATTGAAGCCTTCATACTATCTGTTAGTGACTTTTCAGCTTGTGTTTGACTTGGAACACTGAAGCTTTTAGGTGTCCTAGTAGTGGACACAAATGTATTAATTGTGTCAGAAATACTTGGAGAGTCAGCAGACACTTAGTATACAGACTGCATACAATGTTGGTTTTGTTGTTGTTTTTGTTCTGTTGAAGTAAAGCAGATTAATGATAAATGGCCTTTGTTTTCTTGCTTCTGGAATGCTGTAATGAATTATGCTAACCCTGGGAATGGATTGTCTTTTTCTATGCAATTTCCCCCTGTTACATTTGTTGCTGTTTTTGTTAGAAATATATTACAAGTTAGAATATAGATTTGACAAGTTTAGTGTCACAAAAATAAAGTGCACCTTTTCCCCAGTGAAATGTCTAGAAAACTATGGAATATGTGTGTTTTTGAAGGTCTGTCAACATAAGCAAACACACTCTAAATCCGGTTCATAAGTACGGTAATACTTTTGCTGGTGTGTAATATTTTTAAAGCCCAATTTTATATTAACACAGAAACCAAATTAAGGCAGCTTATGGGATACAAATAGTTACTACATTCCATAATCATCAGCTAAGATTTGATACACCATTATTTGACTCTTTAAATTTCTCAAAGCGTTCTTAGGAACGTGGCCCTACTGATGAGATGGTTTTAACTGCAAAGTTAGAGCACGCTACAGGACATAGGGCAGGATTAACCAAGTGAGTCCCATCAGCGTGAACCCTCAAAATTGGCTTGGGGAGGTGTCCAGAGAACCCCCAGAACAGTGTGCAGAGGGGGGATCATTCCATCTGGGAAGCGGAAATGCTTTTGCGGATGGAGCATTTGTCATGGCACGGCATTAAAGTCCACCCAATATTTTTAATAGAAAGCTGTACTCTGGCAGGTTTCCTCCCTGGTTTGCTAATCATGGTAGAGGGTTAATGAGGATGCGGTATTTCTAGTGTTGCCGCATGTTAATTAAGAATTCAACTCTGCTGCTTGTGAATCACCAGCTGGTGACTGCATTGGTATAAGACTGTAATTAGTCTTTATTTCTCTTTTGGGGATCTTTTATTAAAAAGCTTTGGGGAAGTCTGAAATGACTGGGCATATTTTACACTGTATAAGTGTTTGTGTCTAATTACATAAATGCACAGCTATGATTACACAGACAAATCCCTTCTCTTGAGCGTGCTCTCATTTATCAACATTAGCTTACAAAAGTAGACTCTTCTTCAAAAAACAGGCTTGACAGGGAAACAGTAATTTCCCAATAACGATTTGATTTGAAGAAACCAGGAGCAACAAACGTTGAAGTTTTTTCTGCTGTGAATTCAGTAACGTTCATAGTGAAATAAACGGTTGGGTGGGAGTAAGAAGTACACTAAAATGTTCATTTTTAAAATCTTGTGCTGTGTGCCTATTGCATTATACATTACATCTTACGTGATAGAGAGACAGGTTTTTGAACAGCCATCAACATAGTCTGAGCTTGATGTCAGCTGCAACCCCCAACTATTGTGGCAGATTTTGAGAGAAGCTCCTTCTGGAACTTGCCCTTCTCTTGACATAACCATCTGCTCTCATGCTGAAGATGCCTGATCTTCAACACTACAAAGACGGAAAATGAAGATGTCTAGTCGGTAAAAGTCCATGTTGTTCAAGGTTTGGGCTGTTGAACTTGCATTCCTGTGCTGAACTTCAGCTTCAGCTAACGTTTTACATATTGTGGGAAATGAAACGAGAGCTCACTAATTTATAACAGATGGTTTTGAACACGGAGTGGCACCATCTATTTTCTACACTCCAGTACCAAGTTACCTTGATGAGCACATTTACAAGGGAAATAATGAGGAAAGCCGAGACAGAAGACTAGTGCATGTATCTTTTATTTATTTGAGGCTGTTGTTTCTGCACTTCTGGAAGAGTGAAAGATCTGACACTCATAAAGTAATCTATTCATGAATCATTATTGCATGTTTTTATCGACCTAGTCCCGCCCCCCTGCTGCCGAAAGTAATCAGTAGTGCAATTGTACCATTGTGTGAATAGACTATCCACAGTCAGAGTCATCAGTGCTTCTGAATACCAGTTGCTGGAAGCCACAGGAAGAGACAGTGCTCTTGTTCGGCTCCTGCTTGCGGGTTTCCCACAGGTATCTGGTTGACCACTGAGAACAGGAAGCTGGACTAGATGGGCCATTGGCCTGATCCAGCAGGCTTTTTTGTTCTTATTCTAGTGCTTTTCTAAGTTAAATTGTTTTTCCCAGTCCTTAAACTGAAAAGTTGTAATTGGAACAAATGATTTGATTTGATTTATTATATCTCTATACCGCTTTTCATTCAAATGAATCTCAAAACCGTTTGCAAACAATAAATAAAAATAACATGACGGAACATAATAGAACATCACAAATAGTACATAATTTGTTGTTGTTGGCATCCATCTGTCTCGGGAGACAATGGAGGAGTGCACTTTTGGGGCTGAAGTCAAAATAACATAATGGAACATCACAAATGCGGCATACATAATATAGGATAATTAACAAATCATCAGTGAAACAGTTACAATTTGTAAAACACTGTTAACAAAACAACTAAAAAATAAGCTAAAAATCACCATTAAAGCAAAAGGCATATTATATGATTAGCAAAACAATACAACATTTAAATCACATAAAACAAAATAAACAACATCAGTTCATACATACTCTCTCCACACCCTCATGACTCATATTCTTTCACTCTATACAGCTCATTAAAATACACAGTCTTATAATGCCCATGGCAGCAACTCACTTGGGCTGAAGGTGGGGCAGCACAGGTGAGACCAACCACCCTCTGATGGCAAACAGGTCTCTCTCCCTCTCCTCTCCCCTCCCCTTCTCCTCACAGTTCTTCTTCTGGAAACAGTTCCCTTATGAGGGCTCCTACGGCTGGGGGGGGGGGGCAGGTGAGGCAAGGCAGGTGGAAAAAGCCATTACCTGCTGGCCAACACAGAGTCTTTCTCCCCTCACATTGGAATTAAAATAGGTTGAGATTATGGCTGTGATGATCAGAAGCAACTGAAGGACCTTTAGGGATGCCGCCTGGCTTTTCAGCTGCCAACCTAGAAGCAACAGAATATGGTCCTGTGGCAGTGGCAGAGTGCTAGTGGGGGAGTTGAGGTGCTCAGTCAGCATCCATTGCATATGTTCCTCTCACCTGCCATGAGCAAAAAACGGACCCTGATTATTATGCAGCATTTTTCATTAACGGTTGAAATTCAGATCTGTTCTATATGTCTCAATAGCACTTATAAGAATTAAGCTGGTAGAGGGAGGGCATCCAGTTTATTTTCTGTCGTTTCGTGCTTCTTTTCTTGCTCTCTCCCCTTGTTCAGTTTGTTATCATAACTGCTCTTTCCCCTCCCTTTTCAGTCTGTCCACAGCCACCCGAACCTGAGAACGGAGGCTACATATGCCACCCGTCCCCCTGCAAAGAGCCATTGACATCTGACAGTGTCATAGAGTATTTATGTGAGGAAGGCTATCTGCTGAAGGGAGACTACAAATATTTGACTTGCAAGAATGGAAAGTGGAACCCAGACATGGAAGTTACCTGTAGGCTCAGCCAAGGTCAGTAATGCTTCACTGTGAATATACTCACTCTCATTTTGTTGAATGCCTTTCAAGTACTAGCACATAAATCAGTGCCTGTCTAGACCTCAGAAAATGCATTGGGTTAACCTTATTATCTAAGGGCACATTGCCACTGCAAACTTGTAATCATGTTTTTCCTGAAGTGTAGGTTGCTATGTGAGAGACAGTTCTACCAAAAATCTCTAGCCCATTCCTACCCAAATTCACGACATTCTCACACACCAGTTTTGGTTGTTAAAAAGGTTTCATGCATAACTCTGAATGATTCCCCTTGATCTTATTTTAAAATAGCAAGCTTGTGGTTTAAGAGCAGCCCTGTAGAGGTTGTCTGATTTCAGATCCCATCAGCTTCAGTGAACCTGGTCAAGATGAGGGAGAGGGGTCTAATTTGGATACTGCTTGATTGTACCCTGCTGCAGCACAGAATGTTCTCTCTGCCTAGTCCTGTCTGTCTCAAAAATAAAAGAACTTTCCCAAAGTAACTTGACAGTTGTGTCTTGCAAGGTTTTTACCAGTTGGATAGGAATTCCTTTCCCATGACAGAAAGCCAAGAAGTCTGCAGGAAAATGTTTGTCATTTAATTGACCATGAGGTATTGGAGCAGAGAGAGAGAGAGAGAGGAGTGTGTGTAATTGAATAAAATGTTGTGGAAAGGAGAAATTCCCTGCAAGCTGGATGATGTGCTGAAAGTCATGCATGCTTTTAAAGATTGTTGGAGTGAGTGGAGGAAGGATTGGTGCTTTCTGCACAACAGGAAGACAGGCTATTAAACAGATAAGACGCAGCAGTCTCACAGTTCACCAATATGCTCGATGAGATGTTGACTTAGTCATCCAGACATAAATAAGGAGAAAAATTCAACTCCTTGTTCCCTTGATATAAAATGCAATTCAGATGAGAGATAAGGGGGGGGGTGCTAGCTAGTAGGGTTAGCTTGCATTCATGTAACCAAATAGCCTCAACACTTGAAAGGGGCCCTGGCTGTCAAATGGTTAAGGTTGCTTGGGAATTGTGTTGGAGTAAGTGTCACTTGACAACCCAATGAATGCATTTGGGACAGGTCTCTCCCCAGGACAATTCCACATGGTACTGACTTGAGGACAAAGCTGGCCTTGTGAAGACCAGAGCATCCTTATAATCCTACTTTCTCTCCTGGCCCAGATTATTAGGACTCTTATTTGGTGATGGGAAACAGCTGCTTCATAAGAAGAAACTATTAAAAACAACTTTTTCTTTTGCTCTACAGATAAAGGTTCACCTCCAAGTGTAGGCGTGCCCACCCTGTCCATAGTGGCTTCCACAGCAAGCTCTGTAGCTCTCATCCTCCTCTTAGTTGTGTTGTTTGTTTTGCTGCAGCCAAAGCTGAAGTCCTTTCATCACAGCAGGTGAGCTTCTGGGAGTTGGTGGAGATGACCTGTAACTAGAGGGCAGATGTTTGTGCATGCAGATGCTTAGAGAAGAGAAGTGGTGTCTCTCTCGTTCCTGCTGTTGTCCTGCCTACAACCATGCTTATTGCCTGCTCCTTTTTATTATTCGTTTGGTGTTATTTTCACTCTTGTGGATTTCTTCTCTAGGTTGAGTTCTAGTAGGCAGAGTATCTGCATTCTTTGGCAAAAAGTTGCTATCAGGCTGCTGATCCTCCTGCAAGTCTGCACAACTAAGACTGATCACTAAGCTTAATGCAGTCTAGCAGCTCCATGTTGCGACCTGCAAAGGCTTGATAAGCCTCTTGTTCTTATTGCCTCCAGGGGATTGTAGAAAAGGGGGCAGTGGCTGTGAAGACTGCATTGGGCTTGATGGTTCTCAAGTTGTGCAGGCCTCTAATGACTGCAGTCTCATAAGCTGTAGAGAAGATTCAGCCTTGGTAGTTCCTTGGGAAGCATTCCTTAGGCACAGCTTTTACTGATGAATTTTGGCAGGGGTCCAAAACAGCCTGCTAAAAGCTGTGGCTGCCAAGATCATAGGCGCCGACTCCATGGGGCCTGAGGGGGCCCGAGCCCCCTCAAAAATTTTGTTGAGGGGGCTCTGCCCCCCCAATAATTTAAGAAAATTATTGCGCGCGTGCAGCGGAAACGTCCTCCGCCGGTGACGTCACCCGGGCCTTGCGGAAAAGGCGCTGCGGGAGTCACCGCCGCCGCGGCGGGGCCGCTGCAGAAGGGTGAGTGGCGAGGGCAGGACGGGGCCGCGCGCTCCTTTCCTCGGCTGCCCTCGTCGCGCGCCTTGGCTCCCGTGGCCGGCGAGGGGAGCCCGGGCCGCGCGCGGCTGCTGCTGCCACCGCCGCCTCTCCTGGGGGCGCCGCCTCCCCGGGCGGGAACGCTGCGGGTGCGCGAGGGAGGAGGGCGGCCCCCGGGGGCTGGGAGAGCCGGGCTGCCGTGGCCGAGAGGGCTGCTCTGCCGGGCGCCGCTGACATTGGAACTTAGAAAACTTCCCGGGGCAGGACCCCGGTATGGGCCCCCCCAATATTTTTTTTAAGTCGGCGCCCCTGGCCAAGATCCTACAATTTCCCTTGCTAGTTTGGCCACCACATGGCCCAAAGAGCCTTCTCACCCTTACCTGCAGGAAAAGGGAGAGTGGGGGGCTTGCAGACTTGACCTTTGTGCAGCTGAGGTGCTCTTGGCACTTAAGTAACACAGTAGCTAAACAACCCCTATCCAGCCTCCCACTTTTGGAGCTGTGGGGAGGGATTGCAGTGCAACTATGTCCACCACCATAGTTCAAAGGTTGGGGGCTGCTCATGCTCACCTGATGGTGGTGATGCACTTGCTGAGTGGAAACTTTGCTTTGGTCTTCACTTAGAGGGATAGGGGAGGGCTTAGTATAAAGGGTTAGTGAGCCTTCCAAGTCTCTGCTGCAGAGGCTGTTAAATGGCAGCAGTTAAGTAGCTATTGCTGTAATACAGGCATTAGTATGTGGGTTCTCGGTCATATAGAATTGTAGAGTCAGAAGGGACTCTGAGGATCATCTAGTCCAACCCCCTGCAATGCAGGAATATGCAGTTGCCCCCTACAGGGATTGAACTTGCAACCTTGACATTATCAGCACCATGCTCTAACCAACTGAACTATCCAGGCTTATTCACACAGAGCATATTTTGCAGTGAGGTAGAAGAAAGGCATGTTCTTTTGAGAGAGAAGGGACTTTCCATCTTACTAGTTTTTATACTGGAGCAAACAGCGAGCTTCACAGATGCAGAATGAGGCATAATTTTCCTTTCTAAGCCCAGTATCTGAAGTAGCAGGAGGCTTGGTGGTTGGGGAGGGAAAGTCTGCCTCTTAACAAGATAATGAACTCAGGGCAGCAATCACACAACACAGAAATTATTCATTGAGGAGAGCGCCAGAAACATCTGTGGTGCTCTTTTGCAATGTATGTAGGCGATGAGGCCCACAGTAACAGGCACTGCTTTGTTGCTTCATGGCTAATTTCTGCGGCAGTCCTGTCTGCTGTTCTGCTTTTACACTCTCCAATTTTGCATGGAAACAGATCTGAAGCTTAGTCTCAAACCATATAGACATGTTGTCTTTCCTATACCACTCTCTTGGCTAATGGACACCCCCTTCCCCCAAAAGAAGAAAACATCTGTGCATTCTTTTTTAAGGTGTGTTGTTCTTTGCAGCAGCAGCTGTGAAATGGAACACCCATTTTAGGGGGCGGGCAAACAGAGACCAATAATACTTGTCCATTTCACAGTTGTAAAACTCAGCAAAAGCCTATTTCACAGTAGGGAGGGTGGTGATGTTGTTTCTCTATTAAAGGTAAAGTGTAAAGGGACCCTGACCATTAGGTCCAGTCGCGGACGACTCTGGGGTTGCGGCACTCATCTCCCTTTACTGGCCAAGAGAGCCCATGTACAGCTTCCGGGTCATGTGGCCAGCATGACTAAGCCGCTTCTGGCAAACCAGAGCAGCGCACGGAAACGCTGTTTACCTTCCCGCCGGAGCGGTACCTGTTTATCTACTTGCACTTTGACGTGCTTTTGAACTGCTAGGTTGGCAGAAGCAGGGACCGAGCAATGGGAGCTCACCCCGTCACGGGGATTTGAAACGCCGACCTACCAATCGGCAAGCCCTAGGCTCAGTGGTTTAGACCACAGTGCAACCCGCGTCCCTGCTGCTATCAATTCCATTGTCTCAGAAGCTGAAGCTCTTGCTTGAATTGGACATTTGAAATCTTACTCAGTTCTGGAGACTTGATGAGGGTTTGTTAAAACAAACACACACATATGTGGTGGGAGGAACCCCAGACATTTCCCTGGAAATGCTGAGAATTTCCCCTCCTGCTATGTTCTGACACATGCTGTTCTTAGTCACAATATTCCCAGTCAGTCCAGCTGTTCTTAACCTGGATATAGGGTTCAGTGCTGAAGCATTCCTGGTTAAGGAGTCTCATCGAGCAGTTAATCCTCCTGACGGACAACTTTTGCTGCTGTGTAGACCATTTCTCTGGCTTCGGAGGCAGAGAACTGTTCCACAGAAGCCCAGCAATACTGCAATACCAGCCCAGGAAGTTAAATGCCTTTTTAAAAAAATCAGGGCGCTGATTCCAGAGCTGTGGCTCCTTGCCCTGATTATGGGGTTATGGTATAAGGTGTTTGCTAATAGTTAATAAATTCACCTCAGTTTTATGTCTGTTGCTTAACACTCATATGATACCGTTTGTTGATGAGGTGTATTGTCTCACTATGTCCCACCACTCTTCAGTAGCTTCTATAGTCATTTGTGTCCAGTATTTCATGTGTGTGAGTCTTAGGCCCCCCCCAGTGTATAACTTACAGAGTTAGTATCGCCCAGTGCTCAGTTATGAACTGGGAGTGTCCAAGTTCAAATCTCAGTTCAGCCATGAACGCACAGGGTGGTCTTAACATTGTTCCTTAGTCTCTTCCCTGTCCATCTGCAATGCACAGAGGGATGGTCATATTGCCTGCCTTACATGCTTGTAAGGGCTGAGGTGTAAAGAGCTTAGAAACCTTAAGTGTATTTCCTTTTTCAACCCAAAAGGGAAGCATGGAGTTTGTCTGCCACATGGCTGATGTGCCCTGGGTGCCATGACAGGCTAGGAAGCCCCTTGTTTCCTTTTCCTGCTCCAGCATTCCAGTTGCCAAATTGTCCCCAGCTTTCCTCCCAGGCTAGGAACTGGGATGGGGATTAGATTGCCAAACAGTTGCTGGGATGAACCCTGCACCTCCAAGGCCAGGAATCATGCTTCTTGCTTGCCATTGCCAGTGAAAGTGTTGAAGTCCAGTTATGCTGGCTGATTTCAAGTATAAAGTGTAATGAAACAGGATGTCAAGAAGAACTGAATCTAGGAGTTCTGCAGATACAGTATTGCACAAATGCTTTTGTATTCTTGGGCATCACAGAACATAACGTGGATTCTTTCTCTAAAACTCAAATGCAGGCGTGATCAAGGTGTTTCTGGGGACCAGGTGTCCATCGTGGTGGATGGAGTCCAGGTGGCACTGCCATCCTATGAAGAAGCTGTCTATGGCAGTGCTGGGAACTGCATACCTCCTTCGGATTCACGGGTACAGATTGTCCTTTCGGAGGGAGCTGGGCAAAGTGGAGCGAGGGAGATGCAGCAGCCACCAGACCAAGTAGGTCACAACTGCTTTGCTGGGGAGGATGAAATCCCTGGACGTTCTGGACTGTGTGAAGCTGGCAGCTCTCACCACTCGGAGGCTGTTCTAGTTCATCAGGCGACCACGTCCTCTTGGGTTGCTGGTGCGTCTTGTAGCAGACCTGGGCACAAAGAAGCTCCAGACTCAGAAAGCAGTGATGTACAAAGCCTTCTATCACTTGCTTCCTCAGAGGAGTACACTGATGGTAAGCAAACTGAAACATAAGTTTTTCACCTAAACTCCTGCTAATTGGAATTTTAAAAGTTCATACATCCTAGTATTTCCAAAGTGCCTTTCACTCTTACAGTGGAACATTTACAAGGAGAAATACTTTATTAAAAGTACCAGGATCCTCCTCCCTTCTCTTCCCCCTTTCTCCAACGCACAATCCCTAACAGCGTTCTGGTATAAGTCATTCAGTAATGGACTGAGTAATGATGTTGCTTCTGGTGTGGATCTACAATGGTGGCCATTCATTGGTCATAAAAACTGGCAATCGCAATTGTACTGCATATTCTGGGGGGGACGGGACCCCCTGCACATTACAGTTTTTTCTTTGTGAGTGGAAAGAAGTGGATCATAGCTGCTAACTAGCAGCACCTAGACTGGTGACTTGGAGTGGCTGCTGGGACCATTTAACACCAGTTCTAAAGGATCTTCATTGCAGAGGTAGAGCTAGCTGGTCTGGCACCTGGAGTGGCATGCACCGGGGGGGGGGCTAGTGTCCCAGGGGCGGGGCAAGCGTCCCAGGGGGACGCTGCCCACGGTGAGCATCCCGGGGGGTGCGCCGCCCACCACAAGCATCCCGGGAGGCGGGGCAGCAATGCTACGCCCCCTCAGGGATAACACCCGGGGCGGGCTGCACCCACCTTGCTCTGCCTCTGCTTCATTGGTTCCCAGTGTGTTTCCAAGCACCATTCAAAGTGTTGGTGCTGACCTTTAAAGTCTTAAATGGCCTTGGCCCAGTATACCTGAAGGAGCATCTCCTTCCTCATCATTCAGTCCTGGACACTGAGGTCCTCCTCCGTGGGTCTTCTGCTAGTTTCTTCACTGTGAGAAGCGAGGTTACAGGAAACCAGGCAAGAGGGCCTTCTCGGTAGCGGAGCCCTCCCTGTGGAATGCCCTCTCATCAGATGTCAAGGAAATAAACAACTATCTGACTTTTAGAAGACATCTGAAGGCAGCCCAGTATCAGGAAGTTTTTAATGTTTGATGTTTTAGTATGTTCTGATGTATGCTGTGAGCTGCCCAGAGTGGCTGGGAAAACTCAGCCAGATTTGCGGGGTATAAATAATAACTTTATTTATTTATTTATTTATTTATTGTTTATAACTATCAAAAACTTGTGCCCACCAGATAGCCTTCTATGAGACCCAATTTTTGCTTCCCATCACAAATAAATTGTCCGTGTTTGAAACAAGCCAAGAACAACAACAAAAGCACATCCTTATCTTGTAATCTGAATAAACTCTACCAAATTAGTAAAATGTGCATAATTTGTTCCAGCTGCTGAACTCTGGACTTTGTATTTTCATGTGGATGACAGAAAGTGCGGGATGTTGTGTGTGGAGGGGAAGAGAGAAGTTGATCCTTTCTGCTGTGATTATTTTGCAGTCCTTTGACACCTGCTGAAGAAAGCAGCTTTAGTCAGTAAGCCTTAGTCTCTCATCCCAAGAAAATCCTCAATAGTTAAGAGACTTTGGGGCTTTGCTAGGGGAAAGTCCTTGAAGAAGCATGACTGACAAGGGTTTTAAAGGGTGGCTCATTTTTATAGAAGCTTGACATGGTCAAATAAGAACTTGATAAACGGAAAGAGTTTTATGGACAGCCGAGACTTATATCAAGACTGTGCTGTGTGGTATTTCAGATATGGAACGTAAACACAAAAGATTGTTTAACTTGTCTTTTTTCTCTCTTCCTCTCTCCCAATCCAGATATTCCATTGTTGAAAGAAGCATGAGGCTTGCTGCGTTTGTCTAGCCTTTTCTCTCCATTTTCCTTCTTCCGGGATGGTGAGCACTCCTCGCAGACTTTCCCCACCTTCATGCGCTGTGCATGAAGACACATACCCCATAGCTGAAGATCCAAAGGATGCCGCCAGGATGCCTCCTCGATGCATCAGTGGGGTGTACAGGGTGTCAGCCGTTCCTCCCCACATTGTATCTACATTAAGGGGGGGCTTCAGTGACGTCAGTGGACTTAAGCTCCTCCTCATACCTCTCCCCTACCCCACCAAATGTTTGAGTGTGGTCCCTGGAGAGCTGCTATTTACTTGTGCCTTGCTCCTTCTCACACTGGCTTGTTGCAGCTTCTCGTGGGCTTTACTAGCTTCTGGATTTCTGCTCAGAAAGCAGGGCCAAAAAACAACAACCAAGCTTGCTTTTCTGGGTGCAAAGAGTTTCCTTCCACTTATTCATTGTCTTATGAAGGCAAGTCAGAACATCTCTGGATGGGCTGTGAGGAGGGGTGGGTCAGAGTCCAGTTGTAGTGACATACACATACTGCAGCCCTCAGTTGTTTTCAGCAACATAGACTACTTAACGTAGCTGCACTTGAACTTGGGCAGTGTTGGCTATATTAAAGGCCACTGCAACTTGCCGACCTTTTTTCTTTTTCTTTTAAAGAAAAGCAAGATCATTAATGGCAAGCTTAGGCTGCCACTTGCTTTTCTTTGTTTCCCAAAGAGAGGGAGAAAGTGAACACTTGCCGGGGTGAAGCGTCTGTACCTCTGCAAGCTTCCATTTAAACAAAACAAAACTGTCCCCCCTCTATCTTGGTTCATCAAGGACGATTCTCTAAACTTGGTGTGAGCTGAAGTCTAGGGTTGTCTTGAGACAAACAGCTTAGAGCAATTCAATCTATGACCAGATTTAAGAGCACTTGCATTGAGAAGCCCACATGGAAAATGACTGCCCTCTTCCTAGAACAGCCAGCCTGCCAGCAATACAACAGCTGTACCATAGTCAATCCAAAGCCTTTCATCTTGGAGTGTGTTGAGCTCGTTTTCTGTGGAATGACTGTAGGATGTCAGTGTGTGCGCACATTGTGCTGTTCCCCAAGTAGGGTTCATCACCTATGCCTTTACTTTGACCCACCTTAATGAGAGAGCAATTTTGGCCTCACCACTTTATTTTTGTTGCTGTTGTTGGGTCCCATCCTTGCGAAAGCAATGCCAGGGCTTTTAGTGTTTAGCCTGCATTGCTTATGTCTTCCTCCTGGTTCTGTTAGAACCTAGTCATTGGAAAATGGATCGCCATTAGCAAGTACCTAGCTTTTTGTATCTGGCATGTCCTGTTTGCCTTGAATGAATAACAGTGATAGTCTGCCTTAAAACAAAATAGAATGGAAAGAGCCATGCTGCTGTCTTTACCCTTTTGGAAGACCCCTCGTCCCAGTTTCTTCCTCCACCCACTCCCATTGCACACTGCTTCTTTCTATGCAGGGAATATGTTCACTTACCTCCACCTTTTTCCATATAAATATACTTATTGCTCTTGTTTATCTAGCCCTCTGTGGTCAGTGCATTGCAGTTTGATGGCATCATGGAAGTATAAATTCCCAGATTTTCCCCAGTGAGCCTTCCTTAATTGAACAGTTCTGTGACCTTTCCTAAAGATTCCTACAACAAAAGTGGAATGGCTTGGTTGCCAGTTCTCACACTTGGCCCTGTCTTAAAGCCAGGGTGAGCACACAGAACCACAGTGTGATTTAAAATATCAAGGGAACTAGAAAGCCCATCCTTTGAAAAATGGAAGTGGCAGAGGTCAACCCCGTTTACTGCCTCATAACAATGCACTGACATGGGAGACAACTGTGGAAAAAGGCAGCACTTTGCCTTTCCCCCCCAACCTGCCTACCACCAAAAAATCTGAATGGGAAGCAGCACAATTCCCTGGGCCACTGTCCGTGTTCTCCAGCATCAGATGGGCATTGCACACTGTGCACATTCCACACAAAAGCACACAGTTTGGTACTGAATATAGACCCAAGCATTCAGATAATTACAGGTTGCAGCTTTAATTCAAAGCTGTTTAGCTCCTTTGTGAAAATTGCCTTGCAAATCTGTGGGTGATGCATCTGATTGAAATCAGACCATCGTCTTTTCATCACCAGCTTATTTGTATGCTGCTTTCTCACAGGATTTTGCTCAGATTGGTTCACAATGTATCTAGGGACTGGCAACCGCAATTAAAAGAACGTAAGAAAAAATAATGATAATGATAATTAGAAAAACACATCATTTAAAAATCAATATGTACAATGCTGTGGAAAACAATATACACATGCTAACGTAACAGTTTAAAATTAAGCAGAAGAGAGAATAAAGTCTCAGGGCTCTGCATAGTTCCTCATGCTTCATCCTGATTAGCAGAAGCAAACTAAATTGCCCAAGAGTAATCCAATGGATGGCAATTAGTTTGCTTTTTATAATGTATACAGGCCACACAAATGTGGATTGCCTTGATGCCCAATATTGGCTGTTATCACAGAATACATACATGGCCCTAACCTTAGGCTTTCCAGGCTTGTTCTTTGAGACCCCCAGTGGCAGAGCAGGTTCTCTCACCTTGTTCAGAGAGTGCTGCTCTTCTTCAATGTGGTGTTTAGATCAGCCTTCACTAACTGGATGCCCTCCAGATGATTTGGAGTACAGTTCCCATCAGCCCCAGCCAACACAGCCATGCTGTGGCTTAGATTCCTCTGCTGTTTATAAAAGAAAGCCCCCCCCCACCCTGCCTGATATATTTGGGATGTTGTTGCATGGGGAGGTTATATCAGCAATTAAAGAGCACCATTTATGCAGAAGGATTTAGCTGTGCCCATATCTATCATCTTGAGTTACAGTGACAGAACTCCTGCTAAATGTTTTGGATGGTGTGAAAGAGTGGCAGAATTTTGGGTGACACCTAGCCCAAAGAAAAGTATCTGGTTTCTTCCTTTTTTGTTTAACAATAGAATGAAGCAATAACACCACTCTTAATTTCCATCCCCCATTCACCTGTGGATGGTTCATATTTTTTGTGTAGATACATGAAGAGCCAGATATAAACTTGGGTTTTAAATCTGGAATAGGCATTTCACCTGAGTAATTTAAATGAGGGACACAAAAGAACTTTATGGTTGAAATCTTATGGGAGACAACAGAAGAGCAGTTTTTCTCTTTCATAAAATTTGGTTTTCGAAAAATGAAATACAAATGTTACGGTCTTCAGGCTAAGAATGTAGGTGCCCCCTTTTTAAAGATTTTCTATTCTCAGGTTCTTAAATACAAATTTATGAAGGGCAAGAATAGCAATAGCTATTATCTATAATGCTCAGGGCATCTATTCTAATGCTCAGGCTGGAAATGAAGGGGGTCCTCTGTTTTAAAACCATGACACATTTTTTAAGAATTCTGAGACATCAGTTGAAACAACCACTGGCCCAATGCTGTGTGGCTGTTAGGTGCCTAATAAGTCAACTAATTTAATTAAATTCTTCCAGTCTTGTGTACAGAATGCCAGATGCTGCAAGGACACACTTCGTGCCTGGCAAGAGTAAAACTCATCTAAGGTTGTATTTGTCTGCTTTTGAAAATTGTAGGCATCTAGAATTTGATTCTGCAGGCTCACCTTGCCCTTTGAATGCTGGAACATAACACCTCTGATAAATGAGTGGTTCCCATGCCATGTCACCCTCCATTTAGAATATTGGTTGATCATATGAAACTGCCTTATACTGAGTTAATGCTGGTCCAGAAAAGTCTACTCTGACTGGCAGAGGTCTTTCCCAGCTGAAGTGGTGTGTGTGGTGTGTGTGTGTGTGCGCGCGCGCGCATGTGTGTGTGCATGTGAAGAGCTGAGGAATTGAATGTGGGACCTCTTGTGTACACTGCATGTACTCTACCACTGAGCAATAGCTCTTCCCTTATACTTCCATGCACCTAGTGCTAAAAGCAAGATAACACTTGTTTAAACTAAAATGCAGCACTTCTCCAGTGGTTAGATACATACTGTGGTAAGCTGCCAGGATATTTGTGCATCCAGTTTATGTATGGCACATACAGCAAGTGTCTCTTAAAACAGCTGCTGCTGACATTGGAGACCTGCTAGAGAGAGGGCAGGAGTCAAGATTGTCTGTTTGAGGTATGATGAGGCCCATTAACTACCGATGACCCAAGAAGCTTTAGCATTTACAGGAAGCCTGATGTCCTTGCCATGGTGTCACTCCTGTTGCAGGAAAATCTGAAACCTGGGAGCCCATGCAAGTTGCGGCAAATAGGATTACCATTTAGGTTGCAATACCATACACATTTACCTGGAAGTAAGTCCCACTTAACTTAGTGAGGCTTACTTTTCAGCAAACACTTGTAGGATTGTGCATTCAGGTTTTTCAAGTGCTTAGCTTTGAAACTTGCTCTCACGTAAAATAAGTTGGAGCAAGAGGTGAAGTAAGACATTGGATTGGCTTTCCATTTTTAATGGCATGAATACAGTAGGCTTTGATGCACCCTACAGATTGAGAAAAAAACAGGCAGGACAATGGATGAAGGGGAACTGGAGGGGCTGGACACTTGGGTGCAGGCTTCTCTTGCATCAACTCTTTTCTAGGGCCACTTCTGGTACACATTTTTTCCTCACTGGAGCTCTTTTGTATGATAATTCCTTGCAGCATTTTTAGGCAGAGTGTTAAATGCATGTTACTAACTCTGAGAGAGAAAGGTGCCGCCCAACTCCTCATTGCCTTTTAGAAGTAAGTGGAGATTGAAAGGGCTTCTTTGTACACTCCATACTTAATTTTTACCACTTTCTTGCTGAGAGATTTTCTTTTGGATACCACAGGGGCTGCCAGGGGCTTTTTGCACATGAGAATGCATGCTCATGTCTACCAAATAAATGAGTAAATACCACATTAGTTGGTTTCTGTGGTGCATGGGGAGAGCATTTCCAAAATCACGATGCTCGTGGTACCTGCACTAGGGTAATATAGCACATGCACAACTGAAACTGTTAGTGTACTGTTTCTTAATCCTTGTGAGGAAGTCTGTGACATCCTTGACCAACCTGCTGCCCACCAGAGGTTTCTTACTACAGTGTTTTCAGGTGGTTTAAGCAGTACTGGATGCATTGTATTACAGCTCTACCATCATTTCCAAATATGGTCCACCCGTACACGTTCAGAAAAACAAAGTTGGGCGCAAGTTAAGATCAGTTCACAATTTACACGTCTATGGAGTGACTACTGTCTAGTGTCTGTAAACACGTCAATACGTGCATTTCTGTCACACTTTCTTATTGGTATGGGGAAACCTGTGGACCTCCAGATGTTGTGGGACTACACCTCCAATTATCCCTGACCATTATCCATCCTGGTTGGGGCTTATGAGTGTTCCCACCCCTGCATCTACAATAGATGTTGTGCCCACAGCAGAAAGAACTGCTGTTTTGATGTGTGAATCAGCCCTCTGTTTCCCTCTGCTTTTATAGTAGCGTAGTGAGCATACAAACAAAGGACTGAGTATGGGGGTGTTTTTTGGTAGGAAACCTTCCATTGGCTCGATTCATGTTAGGTAGTATCCTATGGAGATTCTCTCTCTCTCTCTCTCTCTCTCTCTCTCTCTCATGCTTCAGTCCTGGGCTTCTTTCCTGTAGATTTTTTAAAAATTGCTTTTGGAGTTGACCGCCTCTGTCACTTTATTAAGATTTCAATGCTTGCACCAGAGGAGATGTGTGTTGAATGGTGAACACTTCTATGTTAATATATATCTTGAGATACTGGCTTCTGCTAATACTGGTTGTCCATTTCTACTGGAGATAGCACTGCTGCATTTGCTTTTACATGGAAGCTCACACAGTTCAGACCAAATGTTCCATCAGAACAAGCACTTGCACACCTTCTGTTACCCAGTGGGCAGGCTGCAGGTAGTTGGAGATGCAAACACACAGGGAGAACCTGGTTGCCTTCAGTGCTTTTTATTTGTTTGTAATCTGAGTTGCACCACTATGAAACTATTTGCAGAATGGTACTCATATATATGTGGGATTTAAAAATACCATAACGCTGTGCAGGATGTCAATCAGTTTTTATTTTGCTTTATTTTATATATATATATTTTTCTGGTATCCTGTACATTGAAGTGGGTGTGAAGATAGTATTTTAATATTTGTACAAAGTTTAATTTAATTTCAATTATTCTATGTATATAACTGCATTTCTAAATTAAAAAAAATCTTTTGAAGTTAATTGCTTGAGGGTTTTTTTTGCCTGTACAAGAAGTATTTTGATGCGATCCTGCTTCCTTCCTTCCTGATACCATACAGCTGAATAATGGCCCATTTATCAAGCTCATAGAACAGAAGGCTCATCAATTTGGAAAGCGTATTTCTCTGCTGGCATAGAAATTGCTAGCACGCCTCCTTCATAGAATCAGAGAATTGTAGAGTTGGAAGGGACCACGAGAGTCACCTTGTCAAACCACCTGAAAAAACTTTTGCCCAATGTGGGGCTTCAACCCATAACTCTGAGATTAAGAGTCTCAATGCTGTACCGAATGAGCTGTTCAGCAGCTGTTCAGCGACTGGCTCTGCTGGGCAGAAGGACACCCCTATTCATTCTCTAACCCCTTCCCCCCAAACAGCCCAGCATAAGTGCTGTTTGGATTGCTCTGTTACTAAGGATCTTTTGTGTTTCTCCAGCCTGGCATTTTTCTTATATGGCAAGCTTGAGGCAAAGTATTTCCATTTTGGGAGACATGGTGCATTTATTTTTTTAAAATCTGAGTAGTCAAAAGTGGCCAAGAAAACCCACTTGAGATCCCCACCAGTTCATTCTGCATCAGGGAGATCCTACTTTCGTTCTGACAAGTTCCAAATTTGTCTGAAACAGCCCCACTTTGGTTTGGGAGTCATCAGTCTCTTTTTCTACACCCATGCTACTTGGTGATAGTTTAAAAACTGATTGTTCTTTCCATTTTGGTGGAGAGTGGGTGGCCACGGGTGAGAAGCCAGATGGCTGAGAACTGAGCTGTGAAAGGAAACATATATTTGGACACTCAGGTTTGGAGGGACCTAAACAAGAAAGTTCAGGAACTAGCCGGGGTATCCACTTTATTTGCTGAAAGGCAGAGATAAGGAAAAAAGAAAGGACCCCTGCTAGGCCTTTTCTGAGAGGGAAAGGCAAGAATTAAATTCACACGCTACTCAAGCTGAGATTTCCTGTGTACTTGTGGTTAATAAAGTCAAAGATTTAGTCTTACAAAACATTAATGTTTACTGGAAGCTTAAAATGTTGGATTGGTCTCTAGGTTCAAAACATCTTTGGTTTCATAGATTACAGTACAGTAAAAGGTAAAGGTACCCCTGCCCGTACGGGCCAGTCTTGCCAGACTCTGGGGTTGTGCGCCCATCTCACTCACCCATCTTACAGTACAGTAGGTGCTTATAAATTCACTACACCAAAAGACAAAGGGATTAAGTGAGGGATTCACAGCACCCTTATACTCATTCTTGCTCTCCCATCCACGCAGAAATGCAAATACTTAAGTTGCTGAACATCATAGGAGTGTACTCTTAACATGGCTTCCCATAAGCTGAAGAATTTGGTTAAGATGCACAATTGTAACATTCTGATGCAACATTAGGTCAATGGAATATCAGTGCTCTTAGCAGGTGGAAAAGGATTGGGAAACAAGACCAAGGGAAAGTATAGAATGAGTGCCAATGCTGGAGAACATAGTTGCTATATCCATAGCACAAATGTTAAAGAACCGACCAAAAGCCCATCTAGTCCAGCATCCTTTTCTTGTAGTAGCCAACCAGATGCCAATGGGAAACCCGCGAAGTGGACCTGAGTGCTACAGAACCACCCCTAGCTCCAGGTCATTTATGGACAAGTTAAAAAGCACAATCATGGAGATTTTCAAGTTCTGTCACTTCCTGCTTACAAAACACTGATACAGCATTAGCCCAAGTGGTTTCTCCAACCTGGAGGGGAGAGAGAACTGGGTGAAAAGATCTTGTCAAGCAGGCAATACAGCAACAGGAAAGTGAGATACCAGGAAGAGGAACCCAAAACTGGAATGGCAAGCTACATCTATCAGCCCTTGATAAGGAGAGGTGATAAAGGTAAACTCGCCATTCCAGTTTTGGGTTCATCTTCCTGGTATCTCACTTTCCTCACCTATATCAATAAAGGTTGTGTCTGGGATTATAGTTGCTTCTTATTTATTGCTCTTCACACCTTTTATGGTTCTATAACCTCCATGTATATCTTCAATTGCCATAACTTCTTCCAAAGAATCCTTTACAAAGTGGCTGTAATGGCTTTGGAGTCATTCACCCTTTCTCCTCTTCTTATATTTATTATAAAAGTATTTATATACGGCTATACATTTTTTTTAAAAAAACACAGTTGCTGTGGGGATCACACAGGGTCCCCGGACGTTTGACGGTCTATTGATCCCTGTGCCACCACTGTGATTGCTTCCCCGCTGCCACCAACCCGTTTCTCTCGGGTACACACGGAGTCCAGACAGTTGTTAACATTAAATCAAATAAGCAAGTTTATTTTATAAGCCTTAACAAGTTTATGGTTTCAGATAATTTTTCTTGTCAGTTTCTTAATCTTAGTTTCTATACCGGCCTATACTTTTCCTAATAACTGCTAACTGATTATCCCAACTGTCTATCTGACTCCTATCCGTTTCTCTCACTCTCTCACAACACAACTCAACCAACCCACAGACTTATCCTCCCTCTTCCTTCTCCAACTCCCAACTGACTTCCACACAACTCCAACTCTTAACTCCTCCCCTTGGGTTCTCACTGGCCAATCACTTCACACTCATTTAACCCTTTCCTTATGACCCACCTAGGAGGCAAACGCCACAGTGGCTTACAACAGTGTGTGTGTGTGTGTGTGTGTGTGTGTGTAACAGTAACTAAGTTGGTCTGTGTGGCAGAGTCTACAAAAAGCTTAAAATTGTTAGCCTTTAATTGCCACAAGACTCATTACCACTTGTAAAGATGCCCAATGTTTCTTGAAGGTATAGAGGTCAGCATTACAGTGGTCCATATGGTGATACTATAGTCTTGCGTGCAGCATTATGATACCTTTATTTTCCACCTTACTGTAACAACCCCTTTAGGTTTTCAGTTTTGAAAGCATGCATTTGCATGCATTTTTGAATGGTCTTATTTTGGTATAAATGATTACTTTTGCTTGAAAAACAGCAGTTAGACAGTAACTTCCAAAGCAGCCCTGACCTGCAACTAGTCTTCTCAACTCTGACTGCCAGAACCTATTGCAGGAGTTAGCTGAGGCTGAATTCGTTGCTATCTTTCATTCTGCTTTCCTTACCTTAACCCCCAAAGCTATTGAAGGTGGGTGTGATTTGTCTATCACACAGCTAAGTTTATAAACGAAGTCAAACCACAGGCTGTAAGTGGGGAAATGAACACCAGGCTTTTAAAACGCTCTTTCCTGTGTAGGCGGGTTTCGTGTAAGGTGTGTGGGTGGTGACCGCAGCTTCAGGGAAACTGGCTTTTTTAAAAAAAAATATTTGTTCATTGTTTTGCGCAAGGTCAGGCTTTCCTGCAACACTTGCAGCTGGGATTATTTTTCCCCTTCCAGTGTTTATCTGACAAATCATGTACTGGAAAGAATTTGTCTCTATGGTTTCATGCCTGTAATAGTGAGGTGGGGTATATGCGACATGACTGAGCTAGTCAGAGGGTGAGGAAGGAAGTATTTGTGTCTCAGATAAGGAATTGTGGTTATGCTTCTGTAAACCAGAATGGGGCATTCCAAGCATCCAAAGGCCTGAACCAGGCAAAGAGAAGTGTCTGCCTCTGTCCTTCAAGCCTGCCCAACAGAAAGCAGCCAAAGAATAAGAATAACGCTGCTGTCTTGCTCAGCCAGCCAGCACTTTGTCAATCAGTTCAGCTTATTGCAGAAATTGCTTCCAAGCCATTCAAATCCATGGGGTTTGTTTGCCTGCACGATCCAATCAGCACTCATTATATGCACTTCTTTGGCCTGTAAACAACGTTAAGGATGATTTGCGGTGCCTCTGGTTCACTGCTCATGCTCTCTCCGGCTCAGCCTCCCTTCATTAAAGCCTTAATTTCCATCTAGCGAGAGCGTTCTCAAAAGGGCAAAATACAAATTAACAAACCCTTCATTGAGGGATTTGAGATTAAGGGTTATCGGATTTTAGAATTGCGTAACCTGCTGTGACATTAAACGCAGAATAGCCTTTTGCCCTCATCCCTGACTCAAATGTGTCAGTATTTGTAAATGCACTTCCTTGCATTCATCCTGGCTCCTCCTGTTCCTGTTTCCCTCCAGCTGTTGATGCTTGAGCTCTAAACACCTATTGGGGTGAGTTTCAGAGAAACGGGTAGTGAGTTTGCAGCCCTATTGTGCTGGAGAGAGGCTGCTCATAACAGGGGAAGTCTGAGACCCCGTCTGCACTGTACGCTTAGAGTGGCATCATACTGCTTTGAACAGTCATGGCTTCCTCCAAAGAATCATGTCGTTCCTTAAGGCTGCTGAGAGGTGTGAGGAGATCCCTTTCCACCTCTTTGGGAAGAGGGATTCATTGTTAAACAACTGTGACAATTGCAGCTCTGTGAGGGGAACAGGGCCTGTTCACAACTCTTAGTATCCTTTACAAATGACAATTTCCAGAATTCTTGGGGGGGGGAGGGGAGGCGTGACTGTTTAAAGTGATATGATACTGCTTTAAATGTATAATGTCAATGCGGCCTAAGAGGTGTGAGCAAGGAAGAGCAGGTACCGTTCCGTTTGCCTTGCTCTTACATGTGCAGTGCTATTTTTCTAGAAAAAGAGGTGCCAGAATGCACCATGGACGCCTTCCTTGTTTTCTTCAAATGGCAATTGCGCCCACCTGAGAGGTGTCCGAACTGAGTTCTGGCTGGAAAAAAAGCCCTGTATGTAAGACAGTTGCAATAGAGAAAGCCCTTTCACCACACTTGTCTCCCTCCGGCCCACCCCACCAAAGACTCTGTGGTCTTGACAGAACTGATAGTTCAGCTTTTCAAACGGCTTAAAAGAAAGAATGCAGGGATCTACTAAGAATAAAGGGAAGTATGAGCCAGAAGGGGGAAAGTGTGCTTATCGATGGAGAACAGGCCCTGGTTTTGTCATTGAAATACAGTCATCCGTCAGTCCCAGCTGTAGATTGTTTGCCTCAAAATAGTCTGCTAGTAGGAACCC